GCTGTATGAATTTGATGGGAAAATAAATGGACCAGTGAACCACGGTCCTACCAAAGAGGAGTCCTTTGTAATGGATGCAGCCAAAGTGTGCCGTGGATTTATGGAGAGGGAGAAAGGTGAAGTGTGCTTCTCTGCGGTGGCTCTCTGTCAGAATTAAGATGTTTAGTAGGACACAAAACTGAGCAAATTGTAAACCAAAATGTCCTGGAGCGTTCACATGGCAAACAATCAACAGGCAACCTGTGTGCGCATACATCTGCAGACACTATGCACTAAAGCACATTGTTTCCACATTTCTCTTATTTCATGAACAAAGTCTTGTTTAGCATTAACACATGTACACATTGCTTGTTTGCTCACTTTTCTGTGAGCAAACAAGCAATTAGCAGTCCCTTTAGCAGTAAACCAACAAATGGGGTGGCCACTTCCACTAAAGGGTGGGGAACTCCAGGCCTCAAGGGCCGCTGTCCTGCAGGTTACAGATGTGTCCTTGATACAAAAACAGCTGATTTAAAGACTAAATTACCTCCTCAACATGTCTTGTAGTTCTCAAGATGCCTGGTAATGAACTAATCATTTGATTCAGGTGTGATGACCCAGGGTGAGATCTAAAACCTGCAGGACACCGGCCCTTGAGGCCTGGAGTTCCCCACACCTGCACTAAACGTATTTGATAAGTGGAAGGTCCCTTTCTTTTTTAATCATAGAAGTCCCCACCAAGTGACCCCACAACTTGGTAGGAACTTTTGGCTGTTGTCAGGTCCTGGGTACAGGTAACAATTCAATAGCGTACAGAACGCCTTTTAGCAGCAATAATATGAAGTCATAATTTTCTGAATGACTTTATTAGTCTCTCATATCATTATGGATGAATTTCGGTTTGCTTCTCTTGACAATGTTGCTTCAGTTCATTGAGGTTTGCAGGCATTTGTTTAAGAACAACATTTTTAAATCAACGTTGGGCAGCTGTGGCTCATGTTAGACTGCAGGCTCTAATCTTAGAGTTGGTGCATCAAACTCAGGCCTCTTAGTGTGATAAAGTGTTCTTGGCCAAGACTCTGATCGCCAGAGTTTCTCCATTACAGACCACCTACGATTTAGAAAAAATGACACAACCTAAAGCCATCTTGCCCCAAGATTTTTGACCAGGCCACAATTGCTAAGCCTTTCCCCACCTGACACTACACTTCCTCTCCTGGTTTCTATCCACAGCTGCTGTTCATTTCTCCTCCCCTCACCCTGACAGCTAAAGGGGGCCCGTCTTGCTCTGCTGTGGGCCTGCTGGAAGCTAGGGCAGGTAATGGAGTCATAATGGGCTTTTAAGAGCCATACAGCCAATGGTGGTGTTTGCCCTTCAGTGAAAAAGAAAAAAAAGCACTGCAAACAGGAAGTGCAGTATGGAGACATGAGTCATGATGCCTGCTGATGACCACTACACCCTACAACACGCTCCAATAGAGACTGCTAACCTGCTGGTCATAAACCACTCACATTGGGCCAATATGATGGAAATCCCTCATTTTCCTCCTTTGTCCACCACTTCAGAATCACCTAATGGTACTAAATTACTTCAGCCTTGGTGCACAAGCCAGAGCAGCAATGAGTTAGAAACTGATAAGAAAACGTGATTTTTACACACTACCCGAGGCCAGCGCAGACTGAGCAAAGATCCAGTTAAACATTAAGAGTTAAAGCAGAATCAACACATTAATAATATTGAGGAGCTCAGAGGTGGTGTCCTTTCGATGAAAAACCTCATTAAACCAGTCTGTTTGCAGGAAAGGCTAAGCAAAAACTTAGCTGACATGGAAAGGGCAAAATCTTAATCAATCTAAATACCAAACTAATTATTTTTCTCCCGTTTTCAGTAATGAGTGTGGTATTCAGTTGAGTCATTTATGTTTTAGGCTGCCTTACAAAGAGATGGCTACTTTAACCTGTATCCTAAGTTGTGTATACCTACGAGCTGCCAGAACTGCTACGTGGCCTCTTAAAAACACTTATGTCAATAGTGGACCCTTTAAGTCTTTTCCACTCCGATCAATGGCGAGTGTTTAACAGGAGGGACATTAATTACCGAGGTTGTAGGAGGAGGAGCATATCGAGTGGATCAAACCTGATGAAGCTTCTGCGTGGTATACCTTTCCTGCTGATAATCAGTGAGAACAAGCAAGAGTGGTGGTTCTCTGGTGCTGCGCACACAGGCGTGATTGCACACTCAAACAAGCTTCCATGACATAACATCATTATGGACAGAAAAATTTAATTGTGCCTTCATTTACATGCACGCATACAAACACACTGCAGCTGGACTGATAAGTTTGTTTTGCATTATAGGAAATCAATACTGACCTTTCTTAGAAAATTAGACATTTCGATTTCTTTTCTAGTGATTTCACGCTTCAATGACTTTGTATTTCTTGGATAGTCACTGAATACTATATTAATTGTTTTTGTTTGTAGTCTAGTCTCTCAGTTTATGAACAGCTGTTACCAAAATACAAAGCAGCCTAAAGCACTGCATGTTCCCCCAACCTTACTGTGTGAAGGTTAGAGAAGTGCAGAAACCAGACTGGACCAATTCCTCCTTCTCCAGAGCATCCCCTGGGTTTGAGTGGTGGGTCATTTAAAGACATAAATGTAAAAGTCATATACCCAACAATCAGTCTCAAACTTCACCCCCAATGGCAAAATTATTGCCCAACACAAATTTAACACACATTACATGTTTGTACGAGTTCTTCGTGTGACCAGTGTAAGGGGAGGTTTATTTCTCTATAAAAGAAACATAAATATGGAGTTATGGCAAATAGTTTGTTGCTAGTAGTGACTGAAACACTTTTGAAAAGATGTGGTCAAATGTAAACCATATACAGCCAGAGCTGCTCAAAGTGTTTGCGGCTTTCAATAGCTGGAATGTTAACAGGCCTGCTCTGCTGTTTTATCGAGTGCCCAGCATTGGATTGTATCTTTGGACAGTATTTTGCCCTTCTCATCTTGTGACAAAACTATGAATCAGAAAATCTTAATAAACAGAAGATATGCAGGCAGATCAGATTCCCGTATATTCTTTGGTCCTCTTATAATTAGTATTAGTAGTGATATGGTAACTGAACCAAAGTGCTCGTAACAGTTAGGGCTCAAAACTTTATATAAAATGATACAAAGGAAGCTTGGAAAAGTATTGATGACACATTTAGCCAGCTAGTTGCTAATATCATCACACGTTTTTTGAAAGAACATCAAGTAACATTTCCATAGCTAAAAGTCAAAAGGGATATTTGTCACAACTGCATAAATGTCCATGTGATAAACTGTACAAACATCTTTACTTTTCTAAGCTAACGCTACCAATAAATGATAAGTAGCATTAGCTTAGAAAGCTAGACCTGCCAATAACAATAATAAGCTTCTGAATAAGCTTATTCTGAATATGGACTGAGGTGATTTGGCAAACTCATTTGCATGTCATAAAAAAATTCATGAAACGTAAATAAATAGAGACTAGAATGTTCTACTGGTCAATGCCTTCTGGCAACTCTAAAGCTAGCTTAGCTGCTAATATTCAAGTTTTAGACCAGAAACAATTTAATTTAATTATTATATTATTCATAATATTATAAAAAATATTTTCTTTTAACTATGAAAAACTAAAGAACTACAAAGAAATAAGAGTTAAAATTAAATATTATTTGAGTGTTTTAACCTTAAAATAGATTATTTTGGTTACAAGCAGTGACTGAGCCATTTACAACACTGCTCTCAATGAAAATCAGTCAGTCAAAAGTGGCTAAAGCAAAAAAAAAAAAAAAAAAAAAAAGTAGCTTTTGCGATTTTCTTTTGTGCTTTAGCCACTTTTTAGTCCATACATGTGAGCCAATCATTCCTGGCTTGGTATTCACCAAGCCTCAACGTCCCAAAATTCAGGTGAGGAAAGTAAATACGCTGCACATATTTTCCGCTTTGTCTCTTGGGTATTTTAGCTGCTTCTAGGCAAAAATACGAACTTCAGCAGGTGGCTAAAGAGACCTTAAATCACTGCAATTCAGCGGCCGATGGCTTTGGATGTTTAGCAAGAGCACATATTGTATGTGAAGCCTTAAACAAACAAACAAACAAACAAACAAACAAAATAAACGTAAACAATTCCCTTCACCCTGGCATGGTGCATCTTTACACAGTAAACAAGAGCCAACAGGATGTGTCACAGACTCTAGTTGTTTCACTGACAGTAGGGACAAAAAGAAGAAGAAGAAGAAGAAGAAGAAGAAGAAGAAAAACAGACTATGTTGATTTTGTTGTGTTAGAAATTTGATTTCTTTTCTTTAAGCAGAGTGCCTTACAGTGCAAAGTCCACCAGAGAGATTTAATCTGCTTTTTTTTAAAAAAAAAAGACATAGTCAGCATATTTGCACGCACAACTGCAATTGCCTCTGGTTGCAAAAATAATCCCATACATTCTAATTTGCAAAAGCACTGACCCCTAAAATCAAATCATAACCAACCTACATGGGTCTACTCCTGTGGATCAAACTCAACTGCCCTCATCTGCTGAGCTGCAGTATTACAGAGGCATTATTTGTAATACCTGATCCTTTCACACGAAACACATCACCGTGAATGTGACCCAAATACAAAACTTTTCTAAACTATAAGAATCAACAGAAAACTTTGGAATGATTGGAACAGTACTTTTAAGAAAGGCTGTCCTTCATAAATCATTGCTAACTTTTTTTTAAAACCAGCCAGACGCGGCTAAAAAATATGATGGATATTCTGTAAATTGACTGATGCCAGCTTTGACTCTCATAAGTGGACATGTATGGGTTGGGAAGGCCTCTATTCAATCTATAGATTGCTCCAGAGCTGATTATGCACACTACAAACTGTCATTCATTTTCTCATCATCAAGTGAAAAACATACACATCTCCTCGTCTGTCAGATGGGAGTATTTCCAATATGTAATATGCATGAAAATTTTAATTCAAAGACCTCTTACCAAAGACTTCATCTTGTTGTTCAGGTTCTGCTACTGCCGTTTCTTTGGGTTCAGGTGACGGAGCCTTTAATGAGAACACAAAAACAGATTGAAGAGGTGAGATGCTGAGGTGCCATGGCAACAAAGCAAAGACAGAGACAAACAGGCCAACTGTGTGAGAGAGGGGCGATGAGAAAGAGAGACAATGCGAGGGGGAGGTAATTATACCCATTTAGTATTTAGGTGCTTTATGAGAACAGAATTAAGCTGAGACCCTTTTATTCAACTTTCATAAAGAAGTGGATACATCATGTGCACACTGGAAGCTGTTGCAACACTGAATGTGTGACCGGGACTTTTTGTCAGGATTTTATCTATTTATCATCTGTCTTATTTTGATTGATTAATTGATTTATTACATGCATGCACTTGTGAATCTTTGGCAGAAACTTGTCTGGAATGCATATGCAAAAGGACATTATTATGGTTTCAATTATTTTCATGTTATTTGCTAATATTCATTAACAAAAGTTAAGCCAAAACGCAGAAGCAGCGAGTGAAAAACTGAGTACATGCTTCCAAAGGAATTAAGAGTATAAGTAGCAGCCAGGTGCTACTAATCAAATGCATTGATTGATCAGCAGCAAGTGTGAGCACCTGTGTAAAAGCAGATGTTTTGGCAGTTTGCAATGTGTGTTAACACAATGCTAGGAAGGAAAGAAATCAGCAATGATCTTCGAGGAGCAGTTGTTGCTCCCCATCAGTCTGAGGATGGTTATAAGGCTATTTCCAAATAATTTTAAGTCTGCCATTCTTCAATGAGAAAGATTATTCAAATAACAGGGGCAAATATTGCAGACTTGCGCTAATTTTCCCAGGAGCTAAAGAATTACTGAAAGATTAAAATAAAGAAATTGTAATGAGTCAGTCAAAGTCCAGATCTCAACCTACTTGAAGGCTGCAGGGGACATTTAGAGAGCTGTGCCTGAGCAAATGTCCACCAAACTCAATGAACTGAAGAAATATTCTACAGAAAAGTGGGCCAAAAACACCTAAAAGACAATATGAGAAACAAATAATGTCACGCAGAAAGTGAGAATTTCAGGTTACTCAAAGTCAAGGTGATTCACAAGCTATTGATTGAAATATGAAGTGTACTTAGTTTTTTTTTCCCACTGATTATACATTTTGGCTTAACCCTTATTAGACAAATAATGTCAGAGCAATATAGCATGTGTTCTTGTTAATATTAGGTTTCATTTACCCATTTTAGGTCATGGAAAGGTAATTTTTGATCATGTTCTGATATGCAAATCCTGTGTTCAATATCATCTTCAATCCTTTAGGAGATCTGGCTACTGCAGAGATGTCAAAATTACTGTAGTTCATAGGCCACATACAGCCAACTTTGTCGAATTAAGTCAGCAAATTCAAACCAGATGATAGCTGTTAGCACAGTCACTTGCTAGCTGCTGATGTCACCTGGGAAATGGCTGAAAAGCTCTCCATCAGAGACCAATTTGATACGGATGGCCGCACAAAATCTGTCATTCAATTAAAATGTTTTGCATCATAATTACATCTGTTCAGAACCCAGTTAGCCTGTGAAATAAACAATCTGTAACCACCGTTGATCATTTTGGCTCTGCAGTGGGTGGGACATGTCAACTGTTAACTCACAGAGCATCAACAAACAGCTGTGCACACATGTTTGTTGTGTGACTTTTATTTCGTAAGTTGACCATTTTGACAGCATTGAAACAGCAGGAAGTGATACGGGAAACATATGAAGTAAAATGGCATTAGTTGTTACATAATGACAGAAATACTGATTCATCTGCAACAACCCACCCACTTTTAACACACAAAGTCTAAGCTTACACTAGCATGCAAGCTGAATTATTATTACTGTCTGTATTCACACTTCTGGCTCATCCAAAGAATTTGTTATGTCACTATGACTGGCATGTTTACAGCCTTTGACCATCATGTACAGTGAAGTGCCTTCCGATTTTATAAATCCTCTTAACATCCCCCCTCAGAAGAGGCATGAACAGTGCCTGCTTCTTAGTGGGCTTGCCTACATGGGGAATCAGAGGCATTCAAAAGCTGTGGGATCACCATTAAATCAGAACAGAGGAAAGTGCAACTGTGACGCAGTCGCAACAGCTGAGGGACAGTAGAGTGTGGTGAGCAAGCACTTACTAATGCAAATCACATAAAAGTCAACAAGTGCTCCTTTTTTTTGGTCTTTTATTATGCAAACAAATGAGTCTTGATATGAGGTGATTAAATTACTACTGGACAAGATTTAATTAAGTTTTTCCCCTTTCATCAAGAGCATAAATTCTTTTTTTAAAAAAAAAGATAAAAATGACTACTAGAGAAGAAAAAGTCATGTCAGTGACTGTGGGTAACGAGACATTTGTCATGCAGCCGATGTCTTCTTGGGCGCTTCTCTGGCGCTGATAATTGGCGTCTGTCTTGTGTCAGTGACGTAAAAGACGGATTTAATGCGACGTGACCATCAAACAGTCGCTTTCTAAAACATCGGATATGTATCGGATTCAGTGCCACATACGAAAGTGACTCAGATCGGATTTGAAAATATCGGATTTGTGCCGTTCACACTGTCATACCATGATCGGATATGGGTCGCATAGGGTCAAAAAAAAAAAAAAAATCAGATTTGATGCGCTTTCACCTGCAGTGTGAACGTAGCCTAACAGTGAGCAAAGTAGGATGATTGAAGAGCTGCTCCCAGGATATGAGATGGTTAATCACGTTTGATCGAAATAGGAATAGCCAATCAGGGACTCTGCCTCCTCTCTTGCTTCGCGTGCAGCCTCTGTGTTAGTGGGTGCTTGATTACAGGATTGGAGACAGGTGCCCTGTAGCCTGAACAGTGGCTGACCATCTGCAGCCACTTGAACAATCAGGTCTTCTGAAATGCTCTGCCCTGCCACTCCTTTGCAACTAGAACACAGTCTCTGCCTTTGCAGTGCTCATCTGTAAACTGGCCACTTTTACTGTTCTATTAGTATTCTGCTTATTGAAATTCATGCTTTCTTACCTATGCAGTTTCTTTGGCTGACTCAGCGCTTGCCTCCCAAACTCCTGTCTTGTCAGTTCTCTCTGTTCAGCTCCCCTTTGTCTTGGCTTATTTCTACAGTTCCTCTCCCATTTTGCTTGGCCCAAACCTTAGTGACATCTTAATGCCACAGCTTTAGCTTCTGGTTGCCAACGTGTAGCCTAGCTTCCAGGTCCCTGGCTACCAGCCCAGACTAACCCAAACTTCAGGTTTCTGGTTACAACTCTAACATCAGGGTTACTGTTGCCACCCCAGCTCCTCAAGTCCTTTCGCCAGTTTGCTTGTTTACTGAATAGTCTACAACTCTGCACTTCGCTGGTGAACAAATGATTTGTAAATCAGTGATTCAAAAAAGGAACTCCACATGTATTTTTGTGCACTGATAAAGCTTAAATTTCTATTGAGGATTTGCAGATATGTGACTTCTAACCATGTGACTTGAACTTATCTGCCATTTTGGACATGTGACAATGTAAGATCAAGTGAATAACATAATCACACAGGCCTAGAGATTGGGCAGTGACTTCCCTGGCAACTGCCTGTCCCTAGGGAAAAGGTGTTCCCCAAAAACCTCCTTGTGATTACTTTAGTTACTAGTATACTGCTATCTTAGCCTGAGGTGAAGTTATAGACTTTATGGGTTATGGACTCAGCTACTCTAATAAATAAATTATAACAAACTCAAAAGCATGCCAAAAATGGAACTGGAGATATCCATCAAATGCCTTCAAAGTTGCACCTTGTGAAAGATTTTGGCTCTAGCGCTGAAACAACTTTTACTCTTCAGGGTGAACCATCTCCATTTCCAGTTTGCATGGCTGTTTTTTAAGTTTTACTACTTCTTGGCTGGTCGTTTGTATTTGCAGGATAACATTTGAAAACAATAAACTACAGGTAATCATTTGCCACCAACCAAAGCAATCACTAGGAAGGTTCTGGGGCTAGCACCATCTCTGATCCAATTTCATCCAATGAGATACAGCAAACTCCAGAAATGAGTGTTTAGCAGTCAGGAAATACATCACTTTTATCCATCAGCTGGTGATTGTACAGCAAACCTGATATGGCAATCACAACTAAAAATCCTTAGCATTCAACCTTTGCTAGATTTTCTTTCACACCCCGACTTAGCTGTCTTGCCGTAGTTCTTAGCCTTTCCTTTTTCATATAGTGTAAAGAATTACCAATGCAAACAGATTGGAATACACAGAAAAAACAAAACCCTCAGTCACAGAAGCTTGGATGGTCATTGAAATGAAGGTCCTTGCCACCAAGGAGGATGCTGGGCCTGGATCTGCATGTAAATTACTTCACATTTAAAAATAAATAAATAAATCAGTTTGAATTAAGTGCAACTGTAAAAATACGGCTGACATTTTGGCCACAAGGCACACTTAGATTTTCAGTCTCTGAAGGACACACATTATATACAAAACTAAAGGGGTCCTTGTTAAAAACTTGTCACGACACGACCACATCAAAGGAAAAATGAAAAGGGCAATGTGGGCAACCAAGAGAACTAAACTGACATCTTAATGCCATCCTCGCTGTCGGTGTGACACTACTTGCCACAGGTGCCTTATTAAAAATACAGTTCTTGTCAAGTAGAGCTTTCAAAAGAAGTTCATGTTGGAGACAGAAGTACGTCCTGACCCTGTGACAGCTTCGACAACACCTGACAATTATTCATACTTTCCTGCCCTTCTCAGTCCTAACCTACTGAACTTTTAGCTTGTCAACTGCGACATATTTCTCTAGATTATATAAAACAAAATCACACAAACAGATCCCCCTCCCCCGGTCATTACAAACCCTGAAGAGAGTACAATCAGGTGAATAAGTTGTGAGACCACCACACAAGTGCCAGAGTACCTTAAAACTAGAGCCTGACCAATATATGATCTTTAAGACTGATATTTGTTTTATATTTGTTTTCCTTCTCTCAGACACACAAAACCTGAAAAGATTTTGCTAATATATTGTCTTGGTTTATT